TTTCTCTTAAAAATATTGGAATTTCAGGAATAAAGTACAGCAAGTGAAAGATGGAGATGAACAAATAGATAGATAGATAGATGAAAAGATAGATAGATAGATAGATAGATAGACAGACAGATCGAGAGATCGAGAGACTGAGGAGAAAGGGCTATGAAAAAGGGACATTTGACTCAAAGCATCAAGCTCATGGCCTCTCGGTCACTCAGCTCCTCCGATCCCTCTCTCCTCCCTCTCGGCGGCTCTCTTCTGCCTCGTATTTAGGCTTCAGTGAGAACAAACACGAGAAATATAAAGGAGAGAAGAAAGTGAAGAAAATAGACACATATTGGCTAGTATATCTACATATATAAGTATATATATACATATATATATATATATATATATATATATATATATATATATATATATATATATATATACATATATATATATATATATATATATATATATATATATATATATATATATATATATATATATATATATATATATATATATATGTACGTGCGTGTGTACATCCAAACACACGCACACACACACACACACACACACACACACACACACACACACACACACACACACACTCACACACACACTCACTTACACACAGACACACACACACAGTGCCCGCAAAAAAGCTATATTGACATTCGGAGGAGAATAAAATGTGAACAGTTTGTTTGCTCGATTAATAATGTAGGTATTTTCTTACAATTAGTAGGCTACCTGATCATGTTCCCTTCTCAGGAATTACGAGTTGTCAATATGGGCATACTATTGAGGAAATTCTCAACAGAAGATCTAATATGTTTAATCATTCATCTAATCGCAGACAATTACTCATTGGCATAAAACTTTTGGCGAGAAGCCAGGACCACGGGCTGGCCATACATGCAACACAAAACTCGTCTGTGCAGTTGCCTGACTGCGCTCGATGACCATTCCTCTCGGAGCGCAATTTAACTCTTTGCATTGACTGTGTATTTTTTTCCGGCCACTGCATATATATATATATATATATATATATATATATATATATATATATATATATATATATATATATATATATATATATACATATATATGTATATATATATATATATATATATATATATATATATATATATATATATATATATATGTATATATATATATATATATATATATATATATATATATATATATATATATATATATATATATATACATATATATACATATATATATATATATATATATATATATATATATATATATATATATATATATATATATATATATATATATATATATATGTATATATATATATATATATATATATATATATATATATATATATATATATGTATATATATATATATATATATGTGTGTGTGTGTGTGTGTGTGTGTGTGTGTGTGTGTGTGTGAGTATGTGTGTGTGCGTATATATGTATGTATGTGCATATGTATAGATAGGTAGATTCACTGACAGACAGATTGATGCGTGTGTGTGTACCTGTGTATGTGTGTGCCTATAGGGAGAGTGAGAGAGGGAGAAAATGAATGAGGCTTCCCTGTCGCGGAGCTCCGTCTGAGACATCTGCCCCATAAACCGCCGCTTGCATCTCTGAGGGCCTGGGAGGAGCGACTGGGAAATGGGGGGGGGGGGCACGACAAGAGTAGGAGAGAAGAGGAAGGAGGAGAGAATAGGAGGAGGCGCAGGGAGGGAAACTTGAGTCTTGGGCACAGGTACTCAAGTCCCGATAATCAATCTATACAAAGTCGAGGCTCGAAAACTTTGAAATTGGCTTTCACGTCTTTTCCCTTCTGGGGAAAGGGGTGTTTTCTCCCCTCTCTTTTTCCATCCAACCGGAGGTGGACTGCGCAAACTAATCGAAAATCTATTTTTCATATGACAGGCTGAAAATGTTTGAAAAGAAAAAGAAAAAGGAAATTATGTAACGGCTTATCATAACTAAAAATGAGAAAAGAGCCTTCACTCCCACCCTCCTTTCCCTTCCTCCCCGCTCTCTCACCCTCACTTTCTTCCTCTCTCTCTCTCTCTCTCTCTCTCTCTCTCTCTCTCTCTCTCTCTCTCTCTCTCTCTCTCTCTCTCTCTCTCTCTCTCTCTCTCTCTTTCCATCTATCTATCTTGCCTGCCCACTGTACCTCTCTCGGCATGTATGCACAGAGACGCTCTCTCTCTCTCTCTCTCTCTCTCTCTCTCTCTCTCTCTCTCTCTCTCCCTCCCTCATCGCCCGTACCTTCTTCTGCTTGAGTTTGATGGCCAGCTTAAGGCGGTTGAGGTGCATGCGCTCCCCGTGTTCGTGCGGTGGGCCCGACGGGTCGTGGTTGAGCAGGACCTCCAGCTCGTAGGACGACCTCGTGTGGTCCAGGAGGGCCGTGGCGAAGTCCTGGCACTGCTTGCGGAGTTCCTGCGGGAGAGGGGAGGGGGGGGGGATTTTTCACTTTTTTTTCGGATCAGTGATTTGTTATATATATATATATATATATAT